CAAGCTCTTGCTCAGCGAGCTTCGGTGCATTCTGCGGATGGGTGGGGCAAACCTGAGACGAGAAGAATACCGGGATCATAAGATAGCTCCCGTGAGTTTCTATACCCCGCGCCTCTATATTCGAAATTCCCTGTTTTACGTTTTACTTATGTAACTTAAGGTCACTGTCGTGTCAGCTTCAGGCATACATGTTAGGATTGTTCAAGGCTATGTTGATGGCGACAAGGAGTGCGTCTTCGTGCGAAAGTCACGTATTATCAATATCGATGGAAACGAACAGGAGAACTTGGAGGAACTCGTGAATATCGCTTGTTGGCTCTTAGGAAGCCCATGCAGAAAAACAGAGATCCTTAGTTAGACCGTAACTAAGTAGAGGCCGAGGTTACGGCACCGCCCTTAGAGACGGACATAACTGAGATAGCTTCAGTAACCCTCCTTTCCATCACCCCTGTATATTTCCTTGACACGCGCACATTTATACGAACATATCAGATTACAAGACACCGGGATAGCTAGGTACCAGAGAATTAAATCCTTATTTGTTACCATGAAGGTTGCGAAGCAAAGAGGTAATTAGTTGTAGAATATATTTATCTCAGCCAGCACTATGTTTGAAGGCGGGAGAGATTTCGTCTTCCTCTTACAACAACACCCATAGCTATATAAATCCTTCTGCTTTGCTTCTGTCTCTATGGAAGCAAGGACCCCGGGAAAATGCTCTAATACAGATATAGTATTATCGAAACATGGGGTAGGTGGGGGATATTACAGGGACAATGAGGTATCATTTAAAGATCACGGGAGACTCGGGCCATAGACTAGGTGCATAGCGAGGAAGCGACCAAGTAACACTTAACCCCCATGTTTTAGCATCCAGTCTGTACACTCTGCATAATCACCTCTTGAGCGCTTTACCCGCTCCTCCCCTATATCCACTATATGTTCATATATGTACTCTCAAACCGAGGGTAGCTTTAGCTTCATTATCTATGCATCTCAGACGTGGCACACCCTGATACATGGCCTTTTACATGTAACATCGTCTTCGGTGGCGACGGGATATGAGGCACCTTGTCGCCTGTAAGCACATTCTTTGGTCCATGATACCAGCAAGACAGTCTGGGACCCACCTGTTACGAACCAACAAAACCACCCCAGAGACCCAAGGGGTGGAGACGTTTTTGAACCAATCACGGGTAAACTACGGAAAGAGTCCCTGATCTAATTGATCTATGTGATCTATATGATCTAGGACCAGATCACCCAGATCAATTAGATCAACCAGATCATGACAACTCCAAGAGTAGAGAGGAATAACTATATAACCATGAACATTTCCCATGTAACTAGTCACTCTTTTCATAGCTCTTCAGTTATCAATCTAAGACTATTTTCTTACAATAGTGAGAGGACTCCAAGCCTCTCTGACGAACAAGACTTATTTGAGCACTTGACCTACTACTGATACTGTTACCTTCAAATCAAGACACTCCGGATTAGTCAATCCAGTAACGACTATACCTCCCCGAGGTATAGGTTCGTCACACCACCCCTAAATCGTGCACTGCATGATCTCCCACCTGTCAAAAATGGGGTCAAGGCAATGTATTGAGTAGCTATAATCTTTTTACGATCTGCTTGCCATCTCCCCCTCCTTCAAGTCCCTTCAGAAGAAGCTATTCTCTTTATGCTGCCTGACGGCAGTACATGATATTCAGTACAGCTTCCTTTCCTGGAGACGAGATTGCCAAGAGCTGTGTTGGTGCTTTATATGTAGTGAAGCGCTTGCAGCGCTTCCATCGGACTTATCAATCTTCGTCCATACATGTGATGGTGATGGCTTCCTATCAGGATGCTATAGGTGTCATAACACCACCTTACACGCATAACAACCAGTCGTGAAAATATATCCATGACCTTTCATCAATCAGTTCATCATCTTTTGGTGATGTCGGAGCGGTTTAGTCCACATGCATTGCCCCGCCAAGGATGGCGAGATGACATGGAAAATACTCGAAGGCGGAGAGTAATTGTGGTAGGCTATAGTTAACAAATTTAGCAGGGGAGTAGATGCATTAAGTGGAAATAGGTACCCAGCATACCTTCGTGTGAACGAATCGTCAAGGGTATAACAATCAAGCCACTAGGAGTAGAAGATAATTTTCAGGCGTTAATCATGGCAATCGAAATAAGCGAAAGTATTCACCCCTTTCGTCACCCAACACTACTTCTCAGAAATTTATAAAACATGGGGTAATTTTATAAACATTTGTTGATTATCAGGTTAACAAGAGTTCACTTCCGCCAAAGTTGTTTGAAGTTGTTTGTGATGGCTAACATTACATTTGAATCTCTGCCTCATAACGAGTCTACCTGGCTAGCATCTGCCAAAGAATGTCAGATACCAAGTGTTACAACTGCTTCCATTCACGACTATGATTTCCCCAAGTTATCTGGCTCCAAGGCAGGAAATATACAATTTCTGCTCCTCCGTCAACTTTGGAAAACAAGGGCCACCCCTTTCAGCCTTCGAAATACCCCCGTTTCGGACCAAATCGTCCCTGGAAATTACCTAAGTACTGCTCGATCTCTTCTGGACCAGAACAAGCCCTGGAAGGCCTATCTGAAGTGGATCAAGGAAACGCCAAACAAAGTGCCGATAGGTGCTGAAGCTGAGGCAATGGGACAGTTTGCCCTT